AAGTCATATGGCTATTTGTTTTGGTTGCTGGAAACTCATAAAAATCGATGATGTACAGCCTAAAAAAACATTCCATTATTCTAGGCAGAGATATGTTGATTATCTTAAACCTAGCGAATTGATGATCAGTCATTGGGATAATGAATGTGATAAACCAAAGACCGATTTCGGAAAAGCAAGGATTATACAAAGAGCTTGGAGAAATTACAAGAATAGACCTGAGTCATTAGCCACTCGAGTTTGGGAAGCAGTTGAAAACGACAATACTTCCGAGAACAAGAAGTTTTTAGGTATAACTCCTCAAAAAATAAGACTTCCTGAAACTTCTTATACTGGCTATGGTGGAAGAACGATTCTAGTTAAAGATGTACCACCATATGCTCGAAATTTACCTGAAATGTTTTATCGTTATAGTCCTAAAAGTTGGGCAGATGCTAAGAAATATCAATTACAGGTTAGATTATCTAACCACGTTTTAAATTTATTAAGGCAACAAGGATACAGAGTAATCTATAATAGGCAATGGTATGTAATGTTAAAGTGGATACAAAATCCTGAATTATATATTGATAATAAATACCCGCCATTTATTAGAATCGAATAAATTATTATGGGCCATTCGAGAAGAAATGCAATTTATAACATATCAATTATTTATTTATTTAATGTTTCGATACCCCTTGAGGGCTGGTATCTTTTTTTGTACCAGATTCCCGTGTAAACCGAAAATATTTACTTTATTAGATTTTGCAACATCGTGCAAATATGGTCAGTTGATGTCTTGTGTGACTATATGCAAGGAACCCTAAAATTGGATTAACCGCACATGGTTTAGATTCTTAAAATCATTATTTAATGTATATTCCCATATTAATATATTACTATTACTATTAGTGTCAAAAATATTTATGGATCTCTTCAGATTTTTGCAAAGATATTAACCTTGCTAGCTCTGCTAATGTATACTCGAAAAAGGTAGATCGCGAAAGATCAAAGACCACGAATCAAATGAATATTACTTTTTTCCAATTAATCCTAAAATTCGAATTAGCAGTGATTAGAAATGATTTACTATATTTTAATATAATGATTTAATATATTTTTAGCGTGATTCTAGCTCGACTCTAGCACAAGTATGATATTTTACATATAATTATATAGAAAAAATCTAGCGCGACTCTAGCTCAACTCTAGCACGACTCAACCACATTTAAATCTGATGATGGATTACCAATTTCGGAGTAATAACACACAAATAAAAAAGATCAATTACAAAAACGATTATGGAATTATATAGACCATTTTTTTTGCCTGCAAACTTTTTGCGCGCAAACTAATATTCAATGTTTCATCCTGATTACAACCTCATTATAGCGAAGCTTCCAAAAAGTCTGGTAAAGAGAGCGTATCATAGGCTTTTATATCACTCTAGATCCCCCGTTACCTCAAAGCAAATTTCTGAAAAATGCGATCGAATTGAGGCTTATTTGTATCATACATTAGAGGTATATGAAAAAGGATTAAATAGAAAGCGTCAAAAACAAATTAAAACTATAGAACCACTTGAAAATTTACCGTATAATAGCAAAGCTGTTAAGACACATATAAATATGGTTAACCAAGAAATTCAAACTTTAGATACTAATAGCTGTAAATGCGATCAGACACATAAGTGTCCTTGTGAGGAGGAGATCAATCGCCGGGTTAAGAAAGAATTAGATATTTTATGTCGACGATTACTTGAATATAATGAAGAAACTTTTGGTAAATTTATGCAAGAAATTTTTATAGAGCATGAGAATCGGGTTAATGAAAATAAGAAGTTACGATGTGAGGTTGAAGAGAAAAAGAAAGAGTTACAGAAGGCAGAAAAATTCTTAGAATATCTGAAATCCCGCTCTGATTAGGTAGAAAGATCGATAGGTTGGTCCCATCCCTTGCGAATATATAGAGGGTCTTCTTTTGCTCTAGTTAAATCGATAACAATAAATTCTCTACCTTGCAAATTTTTATCAAGTACATCAACAACATCGCGCCATTTTTTCGTATATCGTCTAGCAATATTAACTAGCTCATCATATGTACCACTGCCATTGAAGAGAACAATATAATCGAGATTTTTTCTTATTAATTTTGGGCAATCGAAGAAGGATTGTGTAGTATATATATTACTAATGTTTTTATGACGCCCTTCAGTAAAGTAACGAGCAATTTTTTCTTGTATTTTTTTAGGTTCGGTACATACATCTTCAAATATAGCAACTGATCCTCTTTCAGGAGAGAATTCTTCTATCTTTGGTATTTTGTCAGGTTTCAATGCTCGGAATGTAATATCTTCACGATATGGCTTTGTACTATTTGCGATTATTTGATAACAATCTCGAAGGTATCTATATTTTGGCTCTTTGAGGTGATGTCCGATTAAAACTAAATCATCATTTTTAATGTATCTTGTTCCACCCTTTTTCCTATTAAACAATCGATACATCTTGTTTCCAAGTAAGAGACTAATAATCATGTTTGTTTTTCCCGATCTAGTCCGCCCTGATACTAGGAGATTGAAAGGCCATTGGGGCGTACTATTTAATCCATTGAATTTTTCTGGGTTTGTATACTCATCGATATGAAGTACAAAGATCTCACATGGGTCAAGTTTATTATGTGTCATATTTATCTTATGAGTTTATTTCTTATGCGATAAATAACCTCTCTCTTGTAATTTGCTTTTTATGTACGGAAATAAATCACAATCGAATGCCACCTCAATGAGATCTATACCTTGCTCCTTGCATATATCCCGCTTTTTTTGATCGCGCTTCCTTTGCTCATCTAAGTCTATCTTGCCTCGCTTATGGAACATTGGATTCTCGGAAAAATGTTGAGGTCCCTGGAATTCGTATGCCAATTTTAATTCTTCATTATATCCATCTAATTGCATCCCATTCAAAAATGACAGTTTACAAGATGGGAATTTCTTACCTAACAAATCCTCAAAAATATATCGACATCTGCGTTCATTAGTAAAATGTGGACAAATTGGGCACCATTCGAATTTACGCTTCTGAGTCTTATAAGGTGCTTCCCATTGATGGAGTCTGTTTTCACATGACCAGAGATATACATCGAAATCATTTATTTGGCCAGTTTTACCAATACATTTCCCGTCACGCTTCTTTGCATACTTTTCGGCTTTAGACATTTTATTAATAATACGAACGAAATTAATAGATCTGGAACGAGTGTTTTCTTCCAATATACTCTGGGGCGGATACTGAAGTTTTTCTAGATCTATGTGCATGAGTTCCTCTCTCACAAATCCATGCTTTGGAGCATATTCATCGTCATCATCTCCAAGATAATATAAAACTGGTTCATTCTTCGTTACAACAATTTTTCGAATTTTATGAAGGCTTGGTGAGAATGTCGGATCCGTGGCTCTTTTCTGATTCTCCATACCTCCTTCCCATTCTGCATTAGCAAGCAGATAACGAACTGTATCACCCTTCTTTAACTTATTCTCCTCATTTTTTCCAACAGGACGTTTATATTTTGTGGATGGCCGAGATTCAACCTTTTCTAATTTGATGGCATTTGCTGGAGCTAAACCCCATTTTGATGAACCCTGAGCTCAAATGAGGCGTGTGGGGTAATTATTTAGGTAATCAATAACTTCTGGCAAATACTTGACCCACTCTCTTATTAATTTAGGATTTTTAGATATCAATTTGACGGCATACTGGATTTTATAAAGCATCTCTGCTAACGTCTTATTGAATCATTCTACAAGAGCTAATCCATGATGACTATATGCACCAATTACTTGAATTGTGACATTATGTGCTTCCATTAATTGAGCAGTTTCGCCCATGAATTCTTTACCACCATCACATTGTAGAAGTGTCAGGTATGTAAGAGGGTTATTGGAATCATCATAAATTTTCCTGAATGCTTTAGCAACCTCTGAACTTTTCTTCAATGTGAGAGGAACACTCGCTTTTTACCTGCTAGTCACATCTATAATTTGTAATACTGCTTTCCATGTCTTCCCCTTATATTTATCATGCGTAAGAAATAAGAGATCGCACTGATGTACACAATTTGGATGTGTAATTTTCCCATAACTGATTCGTGGAATATATTTTGGTGCTGGGGCATATTTCTGCCATTCGTTCTGGTTATGCAACCATTCATGAACTTTTTTATATGGGAAAATATATCCTTATTTTTTACATGCATATCTTAATGCTTTTGCATTGGAGAAAAAACCAGACGGAGTATAATAAATTTTGCTCAGGACAATTTGCAATTCCTCATCTGGATTGATCCTAATAATAGGCTTGCTCAATTTACTCATTTTTGATATTATTCATTATACTAAAAATTATGTTTAGCAAAGTCGGAGATAAGTCAAGAGACAAAGTCTCCTTTCTATGAAAGATATAATATGCCGTAAAAAATAACCATGACATTCCATAGATCCTGACCCCTAATCGATCAACTCATAGATCAGCTACGGATAAAGAACTTGAGCTAGAACAAATTAACCAAGAACTCCAGGAGATATTGCAATCAGAGGTAGCCATCAATAAATCGAATGAGAAATATATAAAGGATCTGGAATGTAAGTACACCCGGTGTGAGAAAGAAATCCAATCTCTCAATAA